ACATTTGTTTAATAAATGGTGCTGGGAAACTGTATATTCAGTTGCAGAAAAATGAAACAAGATCTGTACCTCACACCATACACAAAAACTAACTCCAGATGGATCAAAGAGTTATATGTGAAACCTAAAACTATAAAGTTCCTCAAAGAAAAGCTGCAGGCAAATTTAGGGGCCCTAATATATGGCATATGGTAGCATAGTGCCTAAGGCACTGGACTGCTAACCAGAAGGCTGGTGGTTCAAATCCGCCAGCCACTCCTTGGAAGGAAGGTTGGGCAATCCTACTTCCGTAGAGATACTGCCTTGGAAACCCAAGGAGGGGTCACTATGAGTCTGCAAATAACAACAACAACAACAAATATATGGCATAAATAGACTATCAAACATAACCCGAAATGCACAAACAGCAGAAGAGAAACTATATGAATGGAACATTCTAAAAATGAAATTTTTGTGTGCTTCCAAAGACTTCTCCAAAAGAGTCAAAAGAGAACCTACAGATTGGGAAAAAATATTTGGTAATGACGTGTCTGACAAGGGACTTATCTCTAGAATTTATAGACAACTCTAACACCTCAATAACAAAAAGACAAATAATCCAATTCAAAAATGGGCAGAAGACATGAAGACACTTCACCAAGAAGGATATTCAGGCAGCCAACAAACATATTAATAAATGCTCACAATCCTTAGGCATTAGAGAGATGTAAATCACAACGAGATACCGCTTGCCCCAGCACTAGTAGCAAAGTCCAACAAGACAGAAAATAACAAATGCTGGCGAGGATGTAGAAAGATTGGGACTCTCATACACTGCTGATGGGACTGTCAAATGGCACAACCACTTTGAAAAGCAGTATGGCGATTCCATAAAAAGTTGGAATTAGAAATACCATTTGACCTAGACTTTCTACTACTAGGTATATATCCTAAAGAAGTGAGAGCCATGACAAGAACAGACATATGCACACCCATGTTCACTGCAGCACTATTTACAATAGCCAAAAGATGGAGACAACCTAGGTGTCCATCAACTGAGGAATGGATAACCAACCCATGGCACATACATACAATGGAATACTATTCAATTCTAAAGAATAACATAAAGTCTGCAAATACTGCATAATGTGGATGAACTTGGAGGAAATTATGCTGAGTGAAATAAGTCCATCATAGAAGGATAAATATTGTATTAGTCCATTATTATAAAAAGTCAAGGAAAGGTTTATATAGGGAAGGAAATTTTCTTTGTTGGTTACCAGGGGTGGGAGAGGAGGGGAGGGTACCCTGTTAGATAGGTAGAGATAAATATTGATTAGGGTGAAGAGAAGGGCAATGTACCAAATGTGAGTGTTAAACATGGTGGCATTGATGAAGAGGAAGACAGAGAGAGGTGCATGGGAGGTACAGACAACAAAGATGAACCCTTTTGCACATACAGTACTGTGCTGTCAGTGAAGGCAAACATGGATATATGGGTGGATAGATGGGTGCACAGGCTGAACTATTAGGTATGTCTATGCAGTGGGGAGTGTAGCCAAGACCATTTATAGAGTTGGCAGACAATGTTTCCACAAGTGTATTTGTGTGTTCTGTAAGAATTCCCAGGTGTATAATAGAGCTGACAAGGGACAAGGTTGTAATCACTTCTTGGTCACAGCCAGCTACCCAGAGGGAGCAAGTAGTTGATCATGTGAGCTTGAGACCATAGTCACAGGGGACATCAAGCTCAATTGACATAACATACTACACAAAACATTTTTCCACCTCCTACTTTGGCAAGTAGTGACTGGGATCTTAAAGCTTGCAAGCCATAATGGGTCTCTCCTCATGCAGAGCAAAGAAGAATGAGGAAAACCAAAGATTTCTGGAAACAATTAGTCCAAGTGACTGGTATACCATGCAATCCACAGCCCATAGGACTATGAGACCAGAAGAACTAGATGGTGTCCAGCTACCATTGTCAACTGCTCGGAGGTGGATCTATGTAGGAGATCCTGGATAGAGAGGGAGAACAATGTGGAACAAAGCTCAAAATCATTTGGAAAAAAAAAAAAAAAAAGAGGGACCAGGTTTGCTGGTCTGATAGAGCCTGGTAGAACCACTGAGACTATGGCCCCTAGCTGCCCTTCAGGTCTGGAGTTGAACCCACATTTGTGGCTTCCAGCCAAACAAAGGACAGGCATATAAGTTGAACATTTACCTGAGGTTGATACACTCCTTGGAAAGAACAGTCATGGGAGAAAGAAGGTCTGTGTATGCACTGGGAGACAGCTCAGGGGGCAGGAGTGCATTGAGGGATGGACAGAGGGAAGAGGTAACTATTGGGAGGAAATGGGAGGGAGCTGTTGCATTGGGGTAAATTTTATGCAGTGTCGTGAGACAAAGTGTATGTGAACTGCTGTATGGAAAGTGATTTTTTTCTGTAAACTTTCACCCAAATCATAATTAAAAAAAAAGAAAAGAAAAGAAAAGAAATAACCAGGAGTAGAGTGTGTCCTTGGACCCAAAATCCCAGTGCTGGACTTCCTCGACCCAGGAGACAGAGGGAGGGAGAGAGAGAGAGAGAGAGAGAAAGAGAGAGAGTGAGTGCTGTAACACTTTGTTGAGATAGCAGAGACACAGAGACAGCAGAGGCAGCAGAATTAAGAGATTGGCGTGAGACAGAGCAGTGGGCTAGCCATGGAGCAATAAAGCTGACTGCCTCTGGCCAGGTGGATTGCCTTTCTGGTCACCCACTAACAGAGCTAAAAGAGCTTTTTAACCCTCGCTTAAGCAGGCCAGTAGCTGAGGCCAGAGAGAAGCATGCAGTGGCATGGCTAAAAAGAAACTCTTCTCATTGAAGACCTGTATCCTGAGTCATTTCTGATTCTGAATTATAACCTATTACTTCCCTAATAAACCACAAAATTATGAGTATTGCCGATGAATTCTGTGTGGCCAATGCAATGAATTATTGAACCCAGCAGAGAAGTAAAGAGTATTGTGTGAGGGAAGGTTGGTGTCAGAATTGGTAAAAAAAGTTTGAAGGGTGGAATCACATTTGACCTCTACCTCATAGCAATCAGCCTTCAGCTGTTGCTGTTGATCTGATCAAAATCAAGGGTGCCATATACCTTATTCACTTTATTAACAAGCTATCCAATCCCTTTGGTGGGCCCCAAGTACCTCATATTTGCATAGTCCGACCCAGTCATTTGGTGGGAGTCACAAAGATCATGGCTAGAACAGCCATAGTAAGTAATTCACTATACCCCACTTTTGAAGTTGGAGGAAGTCAGATGATGCAGCCCCCACACTATTTTTTGCACTATGTAATCACTATCCTTTGTGGTCTTATGTGAGCAGCCAATTAGTTGAAAGAGGAGTTTCCTTGGTGCATGTGGTCTGCCTTCAGTACTCAAATGGATGTTCTGGCAAAGCTCACTCTCTTTTCTTGACCCTGCACTCTTCTCTTCATCTGACTTCTGGTTCTTAGGATGTAAGTCTGCAGAGGTCTCCAGCTTGCCTTCTGATCTGCAGATTTTGGGTTCGTCAGGTTCTGCAATCATCTGAGCCAGCAAAGGTTTTGCTGGCTCAGCCTGTTGCCTGAGCCATGGATTTGGGACTTGCTAGCCTGCATGATTGTGTGAGCCCTTTCTTTGCAATTGTGTGGGCCATTTCCTTGAAGTAAAATTTTCTCTATATGTGTATGCTTCACTGGTTTTCCTTCTCTAGAGAACCCAGACTAAGAGAAAAGACAGTTAATTTCCTGGAAAATATTGCAACTCGATGGCAAACAACAACAACAACAACAACACATTGCTTATCTGTAATGTTTTATTCCTTTATTAGATCAAATTTACATCTCAAATTAAAGTATACTTTGCATGAATGTGGAAATATTACATTCCAAATAATCTGGTATATCTTACATATAGTGAGTGTTCAACAATATATATACTTATATTTACTTGAAATTTTACTCTTTGGTTTTACCATCACTCACTGAACCTGCTAGACTGATGCTTAATGATCACAGCTCAAGGATTAATCTGAACACAGAAGATGTCATTGTTCGGAACAGTTTGTAAGTGGCTGGCATGTGTAGTACATTTTAGAGTATAAATTTTTAAAAAGGGAACTTACATCATGTATTCAGATGTATCAATGGGAAGATCATTTTACTGAATTAACTATAAAAATAAGTTTTCCTTCTCAATCCAGTAGAGTATAAAAATCTAATATGTATTTTTAATTCTCTGTAAAGAGGGAGCTCTGGTAGCATAGAGGCTAAGGTACTTGACTGCTAACAAGAAGGCTGGCGGTTCAAACCCCCAGCCACTCCTCAAAAGGAAGGTTGGGCAATCTACTTCCATAGTGATATCACCTCAGAAACCCAAGGAGGGGTCGCTGTGAGTCGGGTCTAACTCGATGGCACATAACAACAACAACAACAACGAGTAAAGAAGCTAGGAATTGTTTGATACTCTCAGATGCAAACAAAATGTTTAGTTACAGATTTATTTTATCTAATAATGAAGTTCATTCCCATTAAGGACCTTGATATGATCATCCAACTCAATAGGAATAGGCAGTACAAATACAACTTTAATTCATGAAGTAATTATTTTTCTTAATTATAAAACTAATATGTAGCCTTAAATCTCATGTTGAAAAATTATCAGCTTAAAACAGTGATTTACAAAGCGGTTAGTTGTGATTATACCTTTTCTAATATATTGTCTAACATTAAATTAGGGTCAATTGTCTTTCATTTCTTTTTATAAATATGTTGATTGAATTCAATGGAAAGGCTGTGATGTCCTTAATTATGTAATGAAAAAATAGTGAAAATTAGACAATTTGAATGCCTGTACAAAAATCAGTTTGCAAGCTGCATTCTGTCATTTTTGGAAGCCCTGTGAGTCTTGACAGACTAAGGGCATTAAATAGCACTGGTAGAAATTCTACTTTATCTTTATAATATAATTCTAGTTTATCTTTATAATACTTTGTGTTTATTGCATCACCACACTTGAGGATTGAGCTTTTGGTATTTCCTCTGTTTCAGTATGAATTTCCTCTGCTGTCTTTCTCTCTTCTAATGCAGCAGTGCATGTGTCTACTCCAAGGTACAGTGCAAGGGCAAGAAACATTTTTGTAGATAGCAATCTAGAGAAAAGCAGAGAACAAAATGGCATCCCTTCAAGAAGAGTCAAAGAAACTTCTTGGCAAAGATTAATTGTGAATTTCACAAAGTGTGGACTACAGTGGCCCATGCTGTGTACATCACTATATGAGTCCCAACCCTGAGCACCACCCATCACCCTCATTCTGGTGGGTTTCAACCCTGGTTGTGCATCTGAACCACTCAGAAGCTTTGAAAAATCCCAACGCTCAGGCCACTATATACACCCATATTCACTGAGTTCTAAGGAAAGACTATGGTATTTTATTTACCAGATCAACAAATGATAGCAAATACTAGAAAGAAAACCAGGCCAACTTAAGCAGAATGTCTGGGCCTGCGCCCAGGCTTAAGGAGTTTTAAATATTCCTTGGGTGACTACAAGGTACACTCACAGTGGAGAACCACTGCCTTTGCTCCTGGAGGACAGGGGCTGTGCCTTCACCTTAGTTCTGTTTAGGTCACCTCAGTTGTGCTCAACTCAGTCCTAGTTAACAAATATTGGTTGTGTGCTTATTGTATACTAGACACCTAAGGATTGAGCAACGAGCAATTCAGAAGTGGGGTCCTGCAAGGAAAACAGATGTTATACAAACAATTACAGGAGTGAAGGACAAGAAGTGCTTAAGCTCAGATTTGAAACTTTGATTTGAAACTTTGTTCTAGCACTTATTAGCTGTTTACCCTACATAAACTACTTACCTGGCTAAGCCTCAGATTCCCCATCATGAATGGGATAATGACAACACAGACCCTAAAGAGACTGGGAGAGGACCGACTGTGATACAGTGCAGGCCATTCTGTTATGCTGTGTGGTGCCTGGCACAGTAGGATTTCTGAGAATCTTAGGTGTTGTTTTGTATTATCTCCAGAGAAGATGGTGGGCCTAGGCCAAATCCATGCAGGAATATGCTGGAGCTCATAGCATAGGCTTTGCTTGGAGTTGTATGGGCTCTCTAAATGAAATGAGGAGCTTGCCAAATACCCTTAATATTCACTTGGCAACATACTCAGGTTTTTTGTCCTTTGTTTTCAAAACAAAAGTCTACATTAAAAACCAAAAAACAGACCCATTCCTGTTGAATTGATTCTGACTCATAGAAACCCCATGATCACAGATTAGGACTGCTCCATAGGGTTTTCTTGACTGTAATCTTTTATGGAAGCAGATCACTAGGCCATTCTTCCATGGTACCACTGGATGGGTTTCAACCACCAACCTTTAGCTTAGTAGTTGAGTATAGACTTTTAGCACCACTCAGGAACCTTTGAAGTTTACATTAGTCAAAATAAAATAATTCACCAAAAAATAACAAAAAAGAATTTGGCATTTGTTTGATTCAGTGTTGAACATAAATAACTTGTACTCAGAAAGGCCTACATTTTCTTGATGCCAAAGTAACAAGGACACAGCTTGTAATGGTCCAACAAATTGTCCTTGCACTGTTACAATTCTTCCTTTTGTCATTTGAGAAAATATAATTTCTTTCTAGGCAAAAGAGGTAACAATGGTTAGCCACTTTGTTTACAAATAACTGAAGCGATAGAAGGGAGTCATTATAACTTACAGTTTCATGCTCTGTAGAACATATAAATATTTGGGAAATGTTACGTAAAGTTCTTCCTCTAAAATAGCATTTACGATCTTTTGGGCCACAAATTTCACATCCAATATAGGTAATAGAAATGGGTACCTGGAATGACAATAACAAAAAATGATTTCATTACTGTTGTCATAAAAACAAAAAACAGAAAACAAGAGAACAAACTCACTGCCATAGAGTCGATTTTAGCTCATAGTGACCCACTTTGGATTTCCAAGGCAGTAAATATTTACCGAAGTAGATTGCCCAGTCTTCCTTCCATGGAGTGGCTGGGGAGTTTGAACCTCCAACCTTCTGGTTAGCAGTGAAATGCCTTAGGCACTAGGCCACCAGAGCTCCTTACTGTCATCATGAACACCAATTTTTAAATTTCAGATATAGAGTTAATAACATATGGCTCTAAATAGTCAAATATAATATAAGTAGTGGGGACTATCTTATATATCCCCCCATGACCAATATTGAAACCAGTGTTTATATAATTTCCTACAGTGAACACCTGTCTTAGTTGGTTTTCTGCTATGTGATGGAGATTTGAAACTAGTTGCTTTTACAGTTTTTTGTGTCTTTGTTCCTCCTTGCTTCCTCTCCAAACCAAATAATTACATACTATGAAGAAGCAAAATTGAAAAAAAAATTTACCAAAAAAAGATCTCTCTTGAGTGTATATAATGTACCTTTATTTTAGACAGTTCACTTAGTAGATATAGATGTTCATTATATTAGTCCCATCAAATCAACAGGTGTTAAATGCATGAGGATATAAATAAAATTCCCATAAGGTATTATTATGTCATTTTACACTACAATATATATTTCTCTATTACTTGAACCATACTTTTGAAAAAAATTCTTTTTATCTCAGTTGATTCTTTCATTCTTCATAATTGAATGTGGGCAATTAATTCATATTTCATTCTCTATAAAGTTCCACACAACTATAGCCTAAAGGACTCCAATATTTATTTAAAAAATATAATGTACAGATCATTGTGTCTTTCATCTACTACCATTTTAAGATGATCAATTTTTGTTTTTTCTGGAAGATGTTTTTTTAGTTTTTGTGTACTGAGGGTCCCCCCAAAAAGTTATTATTTACTTATCTGACCAAGATGAGTAGAACCCCAAAGACTATGGCTCTTGGACACTCTTCAAGCCTAGAACCAAACTCACTCCCATGGTTCAATTACAGTCAAACAATAGATGGGACTATAAAGTGAACAATAACATCAAGGGCCAACACACTCCTTGGAACACTCAACAATATGAGGTCAAAAGGGCAGCATTTGCCCAGGAATAAAGCTCAGAAAGCAAGAAGGGATAGGAAAGAAGAACAAATGGAAATGGTAAACACAGGGAGAAAGCAGAAAGACTGCTCTTATATTGTGGGGATTGTAATCAAAATGTGTATCAATTGTTGAACAGAAAACCAATTTGCTCTACAAATTTTCACTCAAATCACAATAAAAAGTTAAAAAAAAGTTATCAATTAACATCACTGCCTTTTTTTTGCTACCATGACACCTCTTCTTGTCTGGTCACATTCCTTCTGTCATCTTGACAATCTAATTTTGTCTTTACTGTTCCAAAGAGGATAATATTATGTTAAATTGTCAGAAAATGTTTCTCAGCACATCCACAGGTCTCATTACTCTTTCTATCATTTGAAATTCTTTGTGCTACTCCTGGTTGTCCTCTCTGAGCCAATAAATTTTCTATTTCTTGCTGTTTTACTGTGGAGCTTTTTGACTTGCTTGTGTAGATTACTTTTGCAGATGTATTTATTTCAAATTTTCTAAAAGTTTATTTCCACAAATACCACAATTTCCTTTATATCAATTTCTTCAGCTTATATAGATTTTTATTTATTTTTTCTTCAAAATATTTATTACAAAGACTTTCAAACATACAAAAGAAGATAGAAGACTATACTAAACAGTGGTGTACTGGCAAATTGTTAACAATGGTCTCTCTGGGAACAATATATACATATATATATGTACATAAGTTTATTATAAACTTTACTGATATAAATAATATATATAAAACACTCTGCAATTGAGTCTATTCTAATTCAAAGAGACCCCCAATGGGTTTCCAAGGCTGTAAATCTACAGAAACAGATTGCTCAATCTCTCTTCTGTGAAGTGTCTCGTGGGTTTGAACTGCTGGCCTTGTGGTTAGCAGCCAAATGCCTCAACCACTATACCACCAGACCTCCTTAAATCATATATATAGTACATAACTTATAAATAACAATAAAATATGCTTTATTATAAATTCAATATAGTAAATTTTGTCTCACAGAATGCTAGCTTTGATTTTTATTGAATTTTGTATCGTATATAATATTCCATTTTATGGATTTGTCACATTTTGTTTATCCACTCACCTGCTGATAAGCTTACATTTCAGATATTATGAATAATGCTGCTATGAGCATTTGTTTAGAAATTTTCATATGGAACTATGTTATTATTTCTCTTGGCTATATATCTAGGAGTGGGGTTGCTGACTTATATGGTAACTTTACGTTTAACATTTTGAGAAACTGCCAAACTATATTCTAAAGCAGCGAAATCAATTTACAATCCCACCAGCAATAAATGAGGCTTTAATTTCTCCATATCTTTGTTGACACTTGTTATTGTCTATCAAGTTTATGATAGTCATCCTAGTTGATGTGAAGAGGTATCTCATTGTATTCTCTTATAACAGTGTTTGTTGTCGTTATTGTTAGGTGCTGTCAAGTCAGCTCCAACTCATCGGGACCCTGCATACAACAGAAAGAAACACTACCTGGTCCAACACCATCCTCACAATTGTTGCTATGTTTGAGCCCATTGTTGCAGCCACTGTGTCTGTACATCTCATTGAGAGACTCTTTTGCTGACCCTCTGCTTTCCCAAGCACGATGTTCTTCTCCAGGAACCAGTTTCCCCCGGTAACATGTCCAAAGAATGTGAGACAAAGTCTTACTATTCTTATTTGTAAGGAGCATTCTGCCTGTACTTCTTCCAAGACAATTTGTTCATTCTTCTAGCAGTCTATGTTATATTCAATATTCTTTGACAACACCATAAGTCAAACGTATCGATTCTTCTTTGGTCTTTTGTATTCATTGTCTAGCTTTCACGTGCATAAGAGGCAATTGAATATACCATGTTTGGATCAGGCACACTTTAGTCCTCAAAGGATGAACAAATTTGTCCTGGAGGAAGTGCAGGCAGAATGCTTCTTGAAAACAAGAATGGCCAGACATCGTCTCAGCTACTTTGGTCATGTTGTCAGAAAGGACCATTCCCTGGAGAAGGATATCATGCTAGGTAAAGTACAGGGTCAGCAAAATGGGGAAGATCATCAACAAGATAGATTGACACAGTGGTTGAACAATGACCTCAGGTATAGCAAGGGTTGTGAGGATGGCGCAGGACAGGCTAGTGTTTCTTTATGTTGTACATAGGATTGCTATGAGTCAGAGCCAACTCGACCGCACTTAACAATAAAATCCTCATGGTGACATCTTTGGATTTTAGTACTTACAGAGGTATTTTGCAGCAGCATTTCCCAATGCAATATATAATTTGATATCTTGACAGCTGCTTCTGTGTGCGTTGATTGTGGATCCAAATAAAATGAAATCCTTGACAATTTCAATCTTTTCTCCCTTTATCATAATATTCTTATTCGTCCAGTTATGAGGATTTCTATTTTCTTTACTTTGAGGTGTAATCCACACTGAAGGCTGTAGTCTTTGCTCTTCAACAGTAAGTGCTTCAAGTCATCTTTGCTTTCGGCAAGGAAGGCTGTGTCATCTGCATATCTGAGAATGTTAATGAGTCTTCCTCCAATTCTGATGCTTCTTCATACAAGTCCAGTTTCTCAGATGATTTGCTGAGCATACAGATTGAATAAATATGGTGAAAGGATAGAACTCTGACACACACCTCTCCTGATTTTATACCACACAATATCCCCTTGTTTTGTCTGAATAACTGCCTCTTGGTCTATGTACAGGTTCTACATGAACACCTTTAAGTGTTCTGGAATAAAACCATTCCTCTTTACAATGTTATCCTTAATTTGTTATGATTCATATAGTCAAATTCCTTTGCATAGTCAATAAAACAGAGGCAATTTTTTTTTTTCTGGTTTTCTTTGCTGTCGGCCAAGATCCATCTGACATCAGCAGTGATATCCCTTTTTTCACATCCTTTTCTGAATCCAGCTTAAATTTCTGGCAGTTTCCTGTCAATGTACTGCTGCAATGTTTTTGAATTGTCTTTAGCAAAATTTTACTTGTATGTGACATTAATGATATTAGATAATTTCCACATTCTGTTTGATCATCTTCCCTTGTAATGGTCATAAATACAGATCTTTTTAGTTGATTGGCTGGCTGTGTTTCATGTTTCTTGTAGAAAATTGAGTGCTTCCAGAGTGGCATCTGTTTGTTGAAACATCTCAATTGGCATTCCTTCAGTTCCTGAAGCTTTGTTCTTTGCCAATGCCTTCAGAGTAGCTTGGACTTCAGTATCATCAGTTCTTGATTATGCTACCTCCTGAAATTGCTGAATGTCAATCAATTCTTTTTGGTACAGTGATTCTGTATTTCTTCCATCTTCTTTTGATACTTCCTGAATTGTTCAATATTTCGTCCATAGAACTATTCAATATTTCAATTTGAAGCTTGAATTTTTTCTTCAGTTCTTTCACCTTTACAAATGATGACCCTATTTTTTCCTTTTGGTTTACTAATACCAGATCTTTGCACATTTCATTACAATATTTTACTTTGTTTTCTTGGCCCTCCCTTTTCAATCTTCTGTTCAACTCTTTTAGTTCATAATTTCTTCTATTCCGTTAACTAGTCTCCTTTCAAGAACAAGTTTCAGAGTTCCTTCTTACATCCATTTTGGTCTTTTCTTTCTTTGCTGTTTTTATTTTCCCCCAAACACTACCACTATAGGATTATCTCATTTTATTGCATGTTGCAGACACTGCATTTCTTAAAAATTGAAGGTTGGTGGCAACCCTGTGCTAAGTCTCTCAGTGCCATTTTTATGTGCTCACTTCATGTCTCTGTGTCA